CCCCCACCATTTGTCTTACTGTATGTGTGTGAGACATGTTAAAATCCAGTGGCACCAAGGCATTATACGGTAAAATAATGGGATTAATACATAAATAAAAGAAATTCCTATACAACAGTAACAGTATTGTGTCTCTATCTGCCATTCTGCAATTCATCTCATGTAAACAATAACGTGGCGCACAGCGTGACGTGAAGAAGGCTCATACCTTTGACATTGCGTGACGAACTCTGTATTCCTCGTCCACACGTAAACGCAAAAAAGAAGCTTTAAAAAATCTTTTCAGTTTTTGGTGATTCGATACGCCATTTACGTGTGGACGAAAGGTCCAAACGCATAGAAACAGCTGCGTTTTCAAAAATACCGTGTAGGTGTGGACATAGTGTAAAAGAGTTAGTAGTTTATTTTATTACTACCTGTAATTTATTGCAGATTACTTGTATTTGCTTAATTGTTTACTGAATGTTTGAGGTGTGAAATAAACCGCGATGCAGTTTGAAAACAAAATATGAGTGTGTATAGTTGGAGGATGTGTTTGTGCGCATGTGGGGGGCGCAAGATCTTTCTTGTTAAACAAAGGGGGGCCTAGCAAAAAAAGTTTGGAAACCACTGGTGTAGAGGATGAAGAGCAGTGGGGGAGCACACAGCCCTGGGGGGAGACAGTGGAAATGGAACTGAGACCGGAAAGAGAATTGTTCACCCGAACTTTCTGAGTCCTGTTCGTCAAATAGTCCAATATCCACAGGATTAGCTGATCATCCAGGTGAAATCGTGAGGAAAGTTTAGTGGCCAGGATCTGAGGCTGTAGAGTGTTGAACGCTGATGAGAAATCAGAGGAGTCAGGGAGTTCTAGATGTTTGTAGATGGAGTTCAAGAGAAAGATTTTTGCATCATTGACACCTCTGCGTGCACGGTAAGCAAGCTGGAGTGGGTCCATCAGGGGGTCAGTTGCTCTTACGATGTGCTGTTTTATGATCTTCTCCATGGCCTTCATCACCAGGGAGCTGAGGGCCACAGGACGAAGATCATTCAGAGACTTTGGGTTGTTTCTTTTGGGGATGGGGGTGACTGTGGAGTGTTTCCACAGCTGGGGACGGTGTGACTGTCAACTGAGTGTTGAAATGGAGTCTGGAACAAACTTCCTAGTTGCCCTGCACAGTGCCTCAGAACTCGACTGCTGATGTTGTCAGGGCCGGGTGAGCTCCTCTCCCTGGTCCTCCTGAGGACTGTCACCACGTCCTCAGTCCTGAAGGTGAGTGCAGAGCTGCCAGGTTTGAGTGAGGATCTGGACTCCTCAAGCTGGGCCATGTTGTCCGTCTCACACCTGGTGTAGAAAGCGTTGAGGTCGTCAGGGAGGGAGGAGCGGTTGCTGCCCTCCACCTGGATGGTTTTGGGGGTGGTGAACAGTAGTCACAGGGGCCATGGTTTTGAGGCCCTGCCAGGCTGAGTGGCGATCACCTGTGGTGAATTTTTTTCAACTGTGTTTTTATACTCCAGTTTAGCAGTTTTTATGGCCCTCTTGCCCTCCCTGTTGATCTCCTTTTTGTCCAGTGCAGAGCTGGTAAAGAAAATCCTTTTTTTTTTATTAAGGATTTCCTTGAGTTCCTTGGTGATCCAGGATTTGTTGTTGGGGTAGATGGAGACTGTTTTTGAGGAGATAATGTTGTCAACACAGAAGGAGATGTATGATGTCACTGTTGACTTGTTCGTCGATGTCATCAGAGGGAGAGAGAAGGCTGTCCCAGTCAGTGGCTCTGAAACATCCTTGTAGGGTGAGGATACTTTCCTCTGTCCACTGCTAGATGTTGATGACCTTTTTAATCCTCTTGATGACTGGGGTGTAAGCAGGGGCCAGCAGGATGGTGTGGTGGTCTGCTGAGAGAGAGGAGGGAGGGGTAGGGCTTTAAGTGCATCTGGTACAGAGCCATAGCTTTTATCCAGAGTCTTCCCCTGATGTGTGCTGCATGTAACATACTGTTGGTATCCTTTAAGCGACTTGTCACGGGAAGAGCGGTTGAATTTAGTGCAGAACAAGAGTCACATGATGCTGCTCTGAACACCAATCACACTTTGTACAGCTCATGTTGTGTTTGTTGTTCTCTCAGTCTGTCAGGTGGAGGTGGAGGAGGGGGCGGAGTCTGTCCAGCTGCCCTTCAACACCACAGAAAACCTTCCTGAAGATGCTGAAGTGGAGTGGAGAGACAGTTCAAACAACAAGGTCCATGTGTATCAGAACGGCTCTGACCGTCCAATAAAACAGAACAAGGTTTACAGAGGCCGAACAAAGATGAATGAAAACCTGCTGAAAACTGGAGACCTCAGTCTGACCCTGAAACAGCCCACAGATGGAGACAGTGGGAGATACATCTGTGAAGTCTCAAAGAACGGACGGATACGATATAAAACAGTACAGCTCAAAGGTTTGTTTGATTATTTCTGTGTGTGTATATGTGTGCGCGTGTGTGTGACTGTCTTGTGTCTTCTCTACAGTTCAGGTCCAGGATCAAACAGGGGACATCAGGACTCCTCTGATGGCTGATCAATCAGTTTGATCTGTGTGTTCTTTGATTATTGATCAGTGATGTCAGAGTGGAGTCAGAAGAAGAAGAAAGGTGTACTTTATTGGTCCCCGTGGGGAAAATCGCTCTCTGCATTTAACCCATTCACTCAGTGAAGCAGTGGGCAGCCATTGGGCGCCCGGGGAGCAGTGTGTAGGGACGGTACCTTGCTCAGGGGTACCTCAGGGTAGCTGTTCAGGGGAATCGAACCCCCGACCTTCCGATCATGGGGCCACCACTCTACCTACTGAGCTATCCCTGCCCCTATGTTGTTGTGTGTTGTTGTTGTGTGTTTGAGACTTTTAGTGTCCATGAAGGTCTCTGCTGCCGTAGATCCTCTGAACTGTGACAGAGGTCTCACTCTGGAGGAAACTCTCAGCACTTTCCAGCAGCTCCACTCTCAGCACTTTCCAGCAGCTCCTCCATCATGGAGGACGTTCCCTCACTGTAACAGGTGGAGGAGAGAGGAGAGGAAGCACAGGTGGATCCTCCGAGGAAGAGGAGCGTCCCTGCAAACCACATGATCACATGACCAAAGGGGTGTGGCCTTCAGTGGTAGTAATAAAGGAACAGTGCACATGTTCCACTTTGACGGCTCATCTCCAACAAAGCAGACCTGTGATCACTTTGACTCAGGATGATGGATCGTTTGGATTTGTCTTTGCTTCTCTCGATTGTCTTGTGTGTCTGTGTGTTTAAAAATGGGTAAAGTACTAAAACAGAGCTTTCCCCCGTTTTCTAATAGTAAATTGCCTTTACTTTTACTTGACTCCCGATCTAGAACTTTGTAGAATTGTGTAGGCGAGTGGAAGATGGGGCGTACTGGCTGTGCAGAAATTAAGGCCGAGGTGGGAAATAAATTCATATTAAAGCTTGTGTGTATGTTCAGTTTTTATATCTTCCTGGTTAGAAAAAAATAAGCCAACATGGAAGTGCAATGAAGTTGCATTGTAACGTAAGGCCAACAGATATCGACAGCTGTGACTGCAAAACCTTCCAGTCTGTAGAAGCTTACACTACGTTTCAGGAGCAGGATTATCTCTCATATTTTCCCCTCGTTCATTGGCTAAGAAGTTTGCAGTCACACATCTCTATGCAATGAGTGAGCAGTTTCAGTCAGATCCACCCCTCTTCATCACAAATGTTGTTTTGCAAACAAAATAGAAATAGAGCAAACGTTAGTTTTAAGACTAAAGAATGAGTTTTCACAAACGAGCAACATATGTTTGGTGTATAAAAGAGTGCAACAGCATCACCTATACACTGTAGGCCTACCAGCAATATAGACACAATACACCAAATGTTTTTGAGTATTTCCCTGTAACCTTACCTTCTGTACATTCTCATTTCCCGTTATTTGTTTTAAGTCTTTGCAGCTCAGAGGGGAGTGATTGCCATGATGTTATTGGGCAAAGCACAAATGTGAAAGGGAGCAAATATGAACTGTTTAATAAATGAAAATAATAAATGGTGCACAAAGCAAAATGTTCATTAACTATCCTGTCAGAGCCCATCATCCTGTGTTAGATAGCTGCAGAGGAGCTGCTGGTTTTTATCATGATGAGTACTGACATGGATGCCTGTGGGAAAAATAAAGGTGATGCTTTATACAATATGTGAATGATAGGTGGTGCAACCCCGGCCATTTGAGTAGTAAAGCATTGATAGCGTGCTCCCTTGTGAGGAAGTTAACGCACATCACTGTTGTCAGTGTGTATCGACTATCATGATCACCACCACCGTGGGACTAACAGTGGGTATTATTATTAAATAGGAAATGTTTTATTATTAATATGTAGTGTCTGGGACTTCCCATGTCCCCAGGAGTATCAGTAGTACTGAGAACAGTGGGTGTATTAGTGGGAGGTGCTCAGGTAACAAAAGGCTGTGCACCAGGTGTGGCGGACCTTTACCATGTCTGATGATACGCAGTAATTGTACTGTCACCTAGATGAGTCACTGCAGCTGAGTTGAACTGATACCTTGGGGGTCTGGATGTTTTCTTTAGAGATCTTCCTAACCTGCAGCTGTGAACTGTGGGGATCCATGTGTTTGTCATATGCTGATTATTATCTGCTACTGTTTAACTGTTACTACTTTTTCATGTTTTTTTTTCTTAGTGTCCAGTTTAGATATTATGTTAGTGATCTTAACCCTGGTCTGATGTCATCTGTATGGTTTCCTGGTGGTAGCCAGTGTGTTCACTGGGACTACTCAGGTTGGTGGTGGTGGAATCATGTGTAGTGATTTTAATAATGCTCCACACTTTCTTTTAGAACCAATAGTCCCTCAGAATGAGACAACAAACATGTTTATAAAGCTTTAAGCACAGCTCTTTGTAAAATCACCCGAAACTGTACCTCTCAATTCAAAAACTAAAGTAGGGAGACGGCCAGGTTAAGTCAATCCATTCAACTTCACTGCTAAAGATGAGAAAAAAGGTGAATAGTCTATGTTTATATTATTTTGTTGCACAATAGATTAAATAGAGTTATTGACTGGCATAACATTAAAGACATATTACCAACATCAATCAAAAAACAAGTCGTAAAGTCAAAGATTCAAAGTCAGTCTTAGCAGACGCATCATTTTGACAGTACATTACTCTAAGTTTTGTTCCTTTGTAATTTTACATAAGATGTGCAGATGAATCTTGAAATGTTATGTTAACGTTTTCATCACTTCACAGCTCCATAGAGTCACGCTGGGCATCTAAATTTCAAAACGAAACTTGAGAGCAGGATTCTTCATTTTGTGCTCGTAGTCCTCATCAAACTGTTCGTTCTGCAACACAGTGAAGTGGTTCTTCCAGTCACCAACTTTCCCTGGAGACAAAATGTTCAGAGTAACCAATCAACCTAATTATATATGGAGAAAATATTGGTACTGGAAAAAAGCGATGCTGAGCATTGACTTTACCTTTTCTCATGAACGGAGACACGGTCTGGTTCAACAGAGGAATTGTGCTGTAGTTGGTCATGTTGTTCTGTTTCATATTATCAAACGTCACACTGACTCGGACTCTTTCCTTCTCCTCAGCAGAAGGAGACAAACCAAGGAAGGAACACAGTCGCTCTATTTCTTGTCCCGAGTCCTGTTCACATAAATATTGAAAATAATTATCACCTTTAAAGGAACATTTCAACCCAAAATCAAATGTATCCTCTCTTATCTGTCTAGATTGATCTGGTGTTGTTAGGCCTTTTGGAGATATTTAAAAATGTCCAACTTCTCCCAATTACAATGGAATTAAATTTCATTGGTGCCTGGCTATTAATCCCGTTAATCAGTTCTCTCGCTACAATCGGCTGATTTCTGTTTGTTTGACTGAAGAGAAAAATAGTGGCACAATCAACAGCGTGGCTTTGGCCATTGCTTTTATTTTTATAACACATTTATTGCACTTTTAAGTCTTTTTATCCTGTTTTGTCCTTTCATTTGTGTTCATACCTAAACACTAAGAGAAAGATCCCATGTGTCCTCATTAGTATAGGGGAGTGTGTTGGTGTGTGGAGCCTTTACAGAGTAAAAGGGGTAACGTGTAGTATAATGTTCGCGCGGCACTGGCGGCACTGGCACCGCCTTTGCCTCCGCGAACACATCGGACTACAAACACGCACATTACCAACTCCGGAAGACGATCAAAGCAGCCAAACGTGAGTACAGGGACAGGGTGGAGC